ACTATATTATTCAAATATAGCATGATAGGTCCACTTTAAAATGTCGAGAGTTTAATGTGTCAACCTTTCAGATAGGGCTCGCCTAGGTTTCACAGTGAACTTACATGAACCATTTAATATCCTTTATGCTAACTATATCGTATGTTGCATCGATGGAGGACACCCTTAGAAATGTTCATTGTCAAAACAACCAAACAACAAAATCAAACAAAGCATTTCACAACAAGATGAACTAGTACATTTGAGAGGGATAGGGCTAGGAACAGTAAGATTAATTGATATAGTATTAACTGCTCTATATCTAATCCCAAGTGGATCCCTCTAAAATAATGTTCCATCGGATCTGCTGGCCAACAAAATAAATTGTACTTGCACACAAACTCCAGCAGCACAACAATATTCCTTTATGTCAACAATCCTTGCCAGCCCATCACTCTTTTTATTCTCAGTTTTGCCGACACATGGCGTAAAAGTATTGAGGTTTATTTCTCAGACAAGCCTCATGCTTTGGGGAATTTTGTTAAATTCCTAGCCGTGTTTAGGTCCACCTTGATATTGATGAATAGCATAAAATGTAAATCAGTGCCATGATCTTGATACATAAAAATTCCTTTATTCCTGCATGCAGCCCCAGTTTGACTACAGCCTCCAAAACGTATTCCTGGCAATATTTCCATCATCTTTGCTTTCAATTATAATGATTTTCAACATCAGGGAGAAGACAGCTCACTGCTCTGGTTTTCAACTGAGGCGGTGATGCTGACAGGCGCTGTTTGGTCATGACTGCTTTGTCAGAGCTCGACATTCACACATGGCCGACGTGATGAGACGAGAAAACAAAAAGTTACCCATTTCCAGTCAGGATGTGGAGCCGGAGGAGGATCCAACAGGGTGGAGGATGATAGAGGTACAAACAGCCCTCCTTCCACACTGACACTGTCTTTATAGGAGAAGCAGTGATGTTGGATGTACGCTATATGATTTAAAGCAACCTGTCTTTATATTTGGCAATTTCTCACTTCTCAAAAGGTCAAAACACTGTAAACTGCAGTTTGAATCCGGTCTGTACAACTTTAAGACCTATGCTCATTCTTTTTTCTTAACCTTTTTTAAGTAGTTTTAATTACCTGGAGGTGGCAGGAAAGCAATGTGCTCACATGCACCACAAGTCAAGGCTGCAGGACAGTTAGCACAACAGTGAAAGAACCAGAAGCTTTAATAGCTATAATATTCTTTTTTTCCCACACAATCTATTAGCTAACGAAACAACAATACTCTGAATAAAATGTACAAACACACATTCACACACACTGCTCTCCTCCTGCCCCTCCCCCCACTGTAACTAGAGCTTCATTCACTTCCAGAGCAACCTGCACGGCCCAGACACTACTAACAGGCCCTGGGGCCACGAGGCAGGACACACACACACACACACACACACACACACACACACACACACACACACACACACACACACACACACACACACACACACACACACACACACACACACACACACACACACACACACACACACACACACACAGGACGGTGTGAATCTGTGGGACTCTGAATGAATCATAAGAGACTTACAGAGTGTAGAGATGGGCATTTCCACTAGCAAAAAGAGAGGGAGAAGAAGAGACCGGGAGTAAAGAGAGGTCGGAAAGTGAAGAACTGTGAGTGAGTGTGTGTGTGTGTGTGTGTGTGTGTGTGTGTGTGTGTGTGTGTGTGTGTGTGTGTGTGTGTGTGTGTGTGTGTGTACCTTCCTTTTAGTCTCAACTGTAGACGAGCATTGAGAAGTCAAGAGTATCTACCAGGAAGTGAAGGAGAGTACAGCTAACTGGCTACTAGCATTGCCCCCAGCTTTACAAAATGATTAATGCTANGGCCTGGCATATGTACTACAGCGTCTCCAGCGCTTTCCAACGGCAATGTCCGTGGCTGTCTCCTCCTGATTGGTGGAGTTGGCCCAATAGCCGTAGCGCCACTTCTGTGACGTCATAGAAGTGTTCAAATCTGGATCAGTCTACATCAGATCCGTTGCAGCCCCTTTTTAAGAGATTTGGGTATGGAGGAAAATAGAGAGGGTTGTGTTTTCTGAATCTTGGTGAGTTCCCTGGAACACCGGGGACACATATTCATGTATAAAAGACGTACAAAAGTGCATTTTGCATGATAGGAGTATTTATCGCTTATTTTTCACATTGTATCAAACATGTTTAGTTTGTTTCGATGCCGATCTAAGGACTGATACAGATAAAGCTAAATATAGGATAAAAACTGTGAAATTAAATTCTGTACAGAAGTAGATAGTTTTGTGTCGTACATCAAATAATTGATCTCTCTGACTAAATAATCATATCTTCATCAGTTATCAGTAATTGCTCTATTTGTGTCCAGAAATTCAGTAATGAGGGTTGGATCTTTTCCACACATCATATCTCTCTTTTGATTGTTTTCAGTGGGCAGCGGGTTATTTTGACCCCTCCTGACTGCTGTTTACTCTTTGTTGCTAAACATGAATCCAGAGATTAATCTGAGTTTACTTGTGTGTTTTCCTCAGAGTGCGGCCGCTGCTCCCAGTCCAGTGATGGGCAACATGCCACCCAATGATGGCATGCCAGGAGGACCCATGCCAGGAGGACCCATGCCCCCGGGCTTCTTTCAAGTAAGAACGTCATCCCTCACCCACCCCCAGCTTCACCCCTCACCCCTCCCTGAGCCATCGCTAAGCCTATCCTTCTGTCTCCTCCTCCTTTTTTAGCCTCTTTAGCTGTCCTAATCCCTGTCCAGATGTGTTCCCTTCCCTGTCTCTCTGACTCTGTCCCATATGTCCATGCTCTGGTTGTTAACTCTCGTTGCTCTGTGTGAAGCTCGGTTACTGCTAACTGACTTCTTAAGAGCTTTTTTGTATCTGCTGAAATATGAAATTATGCTTTAGTGAGCAAGGGATAGAGCAAGTTGAGGGGTTGAGGAGAGGAGAGGAGGCTATTTTTTCCAGTTTGTGTTACTTGTGTTACTAATTCCTCCTGTCATCGCTGTTCTCTGAAGGCTGTCTCAGAGGCTGACGAGGTCACCCACACTCTCTCTCTCCGTTTCCGTCACTCTGAAACACGCACACATGCAAGCACTTATTTGACGCTTTGACACACATTAAACTCAGGACACCTTTTAAAATATCTGCACCTGCAAAGATTTCTGCCGATTTAGAAGAGGTGAAAAGAAAACCGAAAAAATGTATTTCAGCTTTGAAGGCTTGACTACTTTAATAACATGTTAAAGTGTTGGAATATTAACAACTTATTTCTCACATTTAATTTTTGTTTGTTAAGTCAGCATTTCTTAGAGTAATGCAGGAATGAGTCCTAAAACCCAGATACTCGTTAGCATTTTACCACTTTCCTTGTCTCAAAGTCATAGGTTTTTCGAACGTGTTATTTGTTAGAAGGTCTGTGAAGGTCCGTGGTTAACACAGGCTGAAGAGATACTTACGCTTTGTTTTAAGCGTAGTATATTATGTCAGTATTACTTAAAATGGCAGTTGGTAACAAGTGTCTAAATGAGACATCATCACACAGAACATTAGCCACATTTAGCTTAGCGGTGGTTATGCGCAGCCATAACGATTGTGATGTAGTTCGTTTATAGCCTAACGTTGGTTTTTGCTTTTTACTGGCGATTGAATTTAAAAATCACTAAGTGGTGTTAGTATGTGGAGATTATGGAATGGAAAAATCCCATTGCTTTTTGTTGAGGTAACCTTGTGATGGCAACTTCCGGGTCTTCCTACTAAAATACGTCATCACTGCACCACTCTATTGGACTTTTAATATGCCTGAAGAGTAAATAATAATAATAATGTAACATACAGTGTTGAACAGCAACACCATTTTCCTTCGTTGTCTTGCAATGGTTGATTGGCAGCATGTCGTGTGCTGTATATTCTGTGTGTGTGTGTGTATTTGTCAGCGAGTGTGTGTGTGAGTGTGGAGGGGTCGTGGAGCATGTTAATGATGTATGAGCAGTGAGCAGGCCAGGGAGAATGCTATCTTATGGTGTTGCATGAGTGACATTGCTTTCCATAAATAGACCCCGTGTGCCTAGCAGACAGACAGACAGACAGACAGACAGACAGACAGACAGACAGACAGACAGACACACAGACACACAGACACACACACAGACAGACAGACAGAC